TTTTTTGAAAGATTGTTTGTTTCTTTTTATTATCTTCTTTAGCAACAGCTTCTTGATCAACACCTTGTAGTTCTTCACTTTTAATTCCATAGTTTTTAGCAATAAAGTCAAAAACTACTCCTACATTTTCACCTAAAACAATTTGATACTGACCCATTTTATATAATGCGCCCAACACACCGCGCACCTTTTTAATCTTTTCCGTCTGTGCTTTATCAGGGTCTTTAAGATAAAATCTTAGTCGTGTTAAGCAATGTGTAATCGAGCTAATATTATTGACTCCTCCTACTAGGCTAACTAATTGATCAGCAGTCTGCTTTACATCAATTTTCATATTTTGTCTCCTCCTTTAATCTCTGACGAGTTAGGTGAATGCTTAAAAATAATCTATCCTCTTTCGTTAACGTGTAATTAAGCTTTTGATACAAGTACTCGCCGATATCATTAGTTATTTTATTAGTAGCCTTATCGCTAAATGAATCTAACAGTGTTCCAGTTGCTTATTCTTGATTACCTCATTTTTAACCAAATCTTTTTGTAGAATACTAGAGACCAGATATCTGATATGAACAATCATTCTTGAATAGCTAATTGATTTACGATCAATTTTTTCTTCATAATCATTTTCAATAATGTGCATTATTTCCGAAGTTATCTGAAAAATCCGCTTAGTATCAATAATATTTTTCTCTTTTGTAGTCGAATCAACGATTAATGAATTGACAAAGTGAAAAGTAATTGCCACTGCTTCACTTTCTTTTAAAGCAACATCAAACCTTTTGTTAATTGTTTTGACTGTTTTTTGACTAAATTTATAGATTTCAGGAAAGAATTGCTTAATTTCTTCATTATCAAGATAATCAATATTTTCATTATTTCGATACCTTTCAACCGCAAAGCTAATATGATCTGCCAAAGTGAAAATTAAACCATTTGAAAATTTTAAATGTAATTTTTGCTTAGCCAGTCCAATTGTTCTAATCGTAAATTGGGTAAATTCAAACGGAATTTCGTTGATAAATTGCTCAAACCTATCTTTTTCAAGCGCCGTTTGCGGTGAAAAAACCTGAATATCGTTTGAGGCAACTACAATCTTGTTTTTACACTTAAATCCTATGCCTTCTTTAACTAAAATCACTTCCTCTCTTTTTAAATTAATTGCAAATACAGCATTATTGTTCATTGCTTGCGTGACTTTAAAAACTTCCTTCATTTTTTCACCTCCTTAAAAACAAAAAAGGCAACACCGAACAAAAATTTGTTCGATGTTGCCTGAAATTCAGTTACAACTCTTAACATAACTAAGTATATTATTCTTTATTATTTAATGCAAGCGCTTTTTCAACCATTCATTATTTACATTAGATTAATATATGGTTCAAATAAGTAATGTATAGGTAGATTAGTTATCA